TTTTTTTTCAACTGAAAAGGTTGAATATTGAACCTCTAACCTTCTGCATGTAAAATATTACCCCTTTCCAATGAGCTATGGACTTTCCTTTAGGAAAAGTCTTAAGATGTATGGACAATTTGTTTTCTCCCGATTTGCTGTTTTTGGCACCTGCTAAAACATTTTTTTCTTTAAGCAAGCCTACCCAGACACAACTATTTGACATGCATTTAAATATTAGTTAATCATATATTCTTTAAAAAAACTGTTGGGTTTTGTCTATATTTTGGAAAACTTAAGTTTTTAACTTCTGATTTGATCAGTCATTTTAATGCATAAATGTTTTAGGAGGAGTTTAGATTTGATATCCCGCTTTATCACCACCGGAAGGAGTCTCAAAGCGGCTAACAGTCTCCTTTCCCTTCCTCCCCCACAACAAACACTCTGTGAGGTGAGTGGGGCTGAGAGACTTCAGAGAAGTGTGACTGGCCCAAGGTCACCCAGCAGCTGCATGAGGGGGGAAGTGAACCCGGTTCACCAGATTACGACTCCACCGCTTTTAACCACTACACCACATAGCTAAAGTGCATAGAGGTTTTGATGATTAAGCAGTATATAAATGATATTCTTCTTTTTTTTAATGTTTTGGAACCTAGCAGCCTGTTTCCAGTACTATGAGACAAAGCTTGAAGCAGTCAAATGCATGCCATCCAACATTTCTCCAGTGAAAATAGGGACATCCTAATCCATGCCACTACTAATAATAATGTTATTATTTATATCCCACCCATCTGACTGGGTTTCCCAGCCACTCTGGATGGCTTCCAACATATATAGAAAATATAATGAAACATTAAAGACTAAAAAACTTCCCTATACAGGGCTGCCTTCAGCTGTCTTCTAAAGGTTGTATAATTACTTATCTCCTTGGCTCCATATCCTACAACATTTCTCAGATGAAAATAGGGATGTCCTAAGGGAAAATGGGACATTCCGGTATCAAATCAGAAACTGGGAAGGCTTCTGTAAATCGGGACTGTCCATGAAAAATAGAGACACTTGGAGGTTCTGAGCTACCACTACATGTTTCAGCATTGTAGCTGTTTATTGTGACATTTATTTTAAAAGGTAAAGGTAAAGGACCCCTGACAGTTAAGTCCAGTTGCAGACAACTCTTGGGTTGCAGCTCTCATCTTGCTTTAAAGGCCGAGGGAGCCGGCGTTTGTCCACAGACAGTTTTTCCAGGTCATGTGGCCAGCATGACTAAGCCACTTCGGGCACAATGGAACACTGAAACCAGAGCAGTGTATGGAAAAGCTGTTTACCTTCCCGCCAGAGCGGTACCTATTTATCTACTTGCACTGGCTTGCTTTCGAATTGCTAGGTTGGTAGGAGTTGGGACAGAGCAAGGGGAGCTCACCCCGTCACAGGGATTCGAACCACTGACCTTCTGATTGGCAAGCCCAAGAGGCTCAGTGGTTTAGACCATAGTGCCACCTGCGTCCCATTTCTTTACCATTGTCCAAACTGAAAATCCAATGAGCATAAGTCTGTTGTGACAGGTCTGTTTTCCTAGTACTGAGGGGTTTCAGGTTTTTTAATGAAACAGTTGAATGACATAAAGCTCATCTGAGATCTCAAAGCCCTTTGAGGGGATTCAGACTTCATACGACTTATTTTGATACTTCCTTTACAGCACTTGGTACGAGCTTGTGTAACATGCCCATACAAAGGAGAAAGAAGTCTTGGGCCTGCCCCATGGGAAGAGCTGGTTAGATCTAACTATGGCAAATGCTTAATGTCTTATTTAAATAATCACAATCAAAAGAAAGCAAATCCTGCACATTATTCTTTCTGTTAGGATCAAAGAATTCAGAGGGACACTGAATATCAAACTACACACATGAATGATCACAGAAAAAACAAAAGGCCACATTCTGTTTGCAAGAAACAGAGTCCTTTGCACAAGGATTAACTATTTTTAACAAAACAAAACAAAGCACACCTCCACCAAAGCAATTTTGAACATCACATGTTGCTGCCATCCAAATGCCAAATCTAATTTGAGATCAGTATCTTGGCTGGATTAACAGGAAAATCTAAATAATATTATTGATTCAGAATCTAGTCGCAAGAAAAGAAGCCTTGAAAAGGTCAAAAGTAGTTTCACATTGACTTTAAAATCCATTTGCACAAATTATGGAAGTTTCCATTGATGTTGCATTTCAGATGTTTGCGTGTGTGTGTGTGTGTGTGTGTGTGTGTTTTTGTGTGTGTGTGATATTTGCACTGCTTTATATATAATTTGCAGCATCATTGTACCGCCTGATCACATTCGAATAGAAAAGAGTTTGGATTTGATATCCCGCTTTATCACTACCCAAAGGAGTCTCAAAGCGGCTCACATTCTCCTTTCACTTCCTCCCCCACAGCAATCACTCTGTGAGGTGAGTGGGGCTGAGAGACTTCAGAGAAGTGTGACTAGCCCAAGGTCACCCAGCAGCTGCATGTGGAGGAGCGGAGACGCGAACCCGGTTCCCCAGATTACGAATCTACTGCTCTTAACCACTACACCACACTGGCTATCTATGGTCTAATCTCCTTTTCCAAAACAGTTAGGTAATTCTGACAATAGTGCTAAATACAATAACAATGTAATGTTGTTGTTTTTTGATACAAATGAATAACAATTAATAAAACCCAGTAAGGTAAGACTAATGAACACAAATTCAGTGATTTCTAACTTCAGCTTCTGGCTTTTGGTTTATAGAAAAGTCTACTATTGATAAAGGAAGATTACTATCTGTGGTAAATAGATACAGCAATCAGTATCTTAAGAACACTTAAGGACCTTCCGGCATTCCAAATGCAGCTTTGAATTTGATTAGAATAATGTAAATAGGCATGAAGCCACATTTCCGTGGTCAGAGCAATTTGATGCTATCTCCTTTACACAGACTTGAGGGAATTCCTAGTGTTTGTGTGCCAGTCCAAAGGAAGCCACTTAAAGAGAAACACATTTTTTGATGCTAAACACGCTGGAGATAGTTGTACATGAGGAAATTAAAAGTACTAAAACTCAGTTCATTAGTAATTATTACTCCGGGTTTGTACAGCTGATTAAGCATTTACAAAGTGTAAAGAAAAGAAACATCGGATACTGAGCACTGAGGGGAAAGCATGTTAAGGACTCTCAAGCTATGATCCATCAGTACATTACACCTAGATAGGAGAGGGTTTTTTATTTCCCCAATTAAGTACTGTATTCTTAAAATATATTAAATACGCTTCAGGCAATGAGGTGGATGTGAAGGGTCAGGCGACAAGATTTCAGAGGCCGAAGCAGGTTTGAGAGAGATGCAGGCAAGATTCGATTCAGACCCCCACTCCAGTGATTTCTGGGCATAACCCACAGCCTCTGAGGCCAGTGAACCAGCCCCCTGCCCCAACTGCCAGGGCTGGGTGGTTCAGGCCCTCCAGCACCAGCCCCTCCATGTCCAGAAATTCACACACACACACACACACACACACACACACACACAGTTTCTCCTGGACCAGCGATCCTGGTCATATCCTCACCATACATTTAAAGCATTCCTCTCCTATACCACTTTAACAGTCATTGTTTCCCCCCAAAGAATCCTGGGAACCGTAGTTTAAGGGCTGTGACTAAACGGACCTACAATTTGCAGCACCCTTAGCAAACTACAGTTCCCAGGGTTTTCTGTGACTGTTAAAATGGTGTAAGAGTGCTTTAAATGTCTGCAGGTAATGGTTATGTGGTAGCAGCAGGCAGGAACTGCCCAGCTCAGTGTGGTCTGTCTCCTTTTTACTGTGGGTCCTTAAAGAGAATAAAAAGTTATGCTGATTGAGGTAGGATCCTACCTAACCTTATTGGGTGCCAACACCAGACCCTCCAAGTGTCCCTATTTTCCAGGGACAGTCCCGAATTTACAGAAGCCATCCTGATTTCTGATTTGATCCCGGAATGTCCCCTTTCTCCTTAGGACATCCCTATTATCATCGGGAAAATGTTGGAGGGTATGGAGTTATGCCTAGCCAAGAAGATATATTAACTATATAACCTTAAAAATACATCTGAAGACAGCCCTGTATAGGGAAATTGTTTAATATTTTATTATGCTTTAATATATGTTGGAAGACGCCAAGAGTGGCTGGGGCAACCCAGTCAGATAGGCGGGGTATGAATATTATTATTATTATTATATAGGACATCTATATTTTCATCAGAGAAATTTTGGAGGATATGTAACACTGGGCTTTTTTGGGGGGGGAGGAATTGAAATGCTCATCTTGGACGTGAGTGTCATACTTGAAGTTGATGTACAGTGGTACCTCGGGTTACAGACGCTTCAGGTTACAGACTCCGCTAACCCAGAAATAGTACCTCGGGTTAAGAACTTTGCTTCAGGATGAGAACAGAAATCAGGTGGCGGCAGTGGGAGGCCCCATTAGCTAAAGTGGTACCGCAGGTGAAGGATAGTTTCAGGTTAAGAACAGACCTCCAGAACGAATTAAGTTCTTAACCCGAGGTACCACTGTAATAAGAGCTAGGAGTCTTGCAGAGGGTGTGGAGAAGCCTAGTTTCAAACCTCCATTGAGCCCTGAAGCTCATTGGGTGAACTGTGGTCAGTCACTACCTCTCAGCCTATCCTACCTCTCAGGGTTGCCGTGAGAATAAAATGTGTGGGAGGGATCCATGCATTGTAACCTGGAGCTCCTTGGAAGAAAAGTAGGATCTAGTTGTAGCAAGTAAAATAAAATGTGACCAAACAGAATAGTATCTATGTCCTGTTTTAAGAAATGTTTATTCCACCCTTCAAACAAATCCCAGGGCAGTTTGCAACAGTGAAACACAACTTCATAATAATAATAAATGCATTAAAGCAAGGTAAATAAAATCATATCGCATTAGATAGACAAATAGACATGTCTACTTGAAAGTAGCCCCATTGAGTTCAAAGGGTCTTACTCCCAGGTTAGAATTACAGAAGAAGTCTGGTTTGCTCAGTTGGGTAGAGTGTGGTGCTGATAATGCCAAGGTCACAGGTTTGGTCCATGTAAGGGAGAGCTGCCTATTCCTTCATTGCAGAGGGTTGGGCTAGATGATTCTCAGGGTCCCTTCTGACTCCATGCTTCAAGGCTGCAATCATATGCCCACTTACCTGGGAGTAAGACTCTTTGAATGCAGTTGGGCTTACTTTTAAGTAACCAGACAATTTCCGAAAAACTGATATCAGTAACCTGAATAAAATGCTGTTTCAGCAGAGTTGGCTCCTGCCTTATTTAATGGGGAGGGTGGTTCCACAACAGAACCCTCCTCCCCAGATGCGCTTCAGCAGGCCAAAGCCCAACCAAAAGTCCCTCTGCTGAATACTGAGCCAAGTGGGAAAGTGTGCCACAAGTAATCGAGGAAGAGAGAGAGAGAGAGAGAGAGAGAGAGAGAGAGAGAGAATCAATCTCTCAGTCTATATGCAATGCCCTGGCCCTCCCTGCCCCACCAACCCTTGTCTCAGGGGTGGGGAAGGGGGCAGTTTTGCCTCTGGCCTAATGAGTTGGAAAGCAAGCTGTAACACAGCGTGGGTGAGAAAAGCAGGAGTCCAGGCCTGCCTTTATGCGGTAACCAATTATCTGGAAGGAAAAGAGGACTTTGGCACAATAATGGAGGCTCCGTTCTGAAAGACTACAGAAAACAAGGGGCAGCAAGGATGGGAGTGAGGCACACCGAACGTAGGATATGCCACAACCAGTGGGGAAACTGGGATTCAATCCAATGGGCAGTAAGGAATGCAGGGAGCACAGGACTAGGACAGTGTCGGGAGACATGGGAGAATGGAAGAATCTCAGAGCAAGCGTCCTTTACCTAGTTTAAAAGAATTTAGAAGAACGTATAAGGGGCCTGTAGAAAACTACAGTCTTGCTTATAACTGAGTTAGCAAAATTCACCTCAGGGTCATCTACACATACAAAGAATGTGTATATTGTGACCTTTCCTATGGAAGCACAGGTATAGAGGGTTGCCATACATCTGGGATTTCCTGGACATGTTCTGTTTTGGGGGGCCAGCACCCCCATCCAGGCAGAATTTTACATTTTGGATTAAATGCCTGGGTTTGGGGGTTGGCAGTTCCCTCATTGTGAGAAGTGAGGTTACAGGGAACCAGACAGAGGGCCTTCTCGGTAGTGGCGCCCACCCTGTGGAACGCCCTCCCTTCAGATGTGAAGGAAATAAGCAGCTATCTTATCTTTAAAATACACCTCGGCCCAGTATACCTGAAGGAGCGTCTCCACCCCCATCGTTCTGCTCAGACGCTGAGGTCCAGCGCCAAGGGCCTTCTGGTGGTTCCCTCATTTTGAGAAGCAAAGCTACAGGGAACCAGGCAGAGGGCCTTCTCGGTAGTGGCGCCCGCCCTGTGGAACGCCCTCCCATCAGATGTCAAAGCGATAAATAACTACTTGACATTCAGAAGACATCTTAAGGCAGCCCTGTTCAGGGACGTTTTTAATGTATGATATTTTAGTGTATTTTTGGTTTCTATGGAAGCCGCCCAGAGTGGCTGGGGAAACCCAGCCAGATGGGCGGGGTACAAATAATAAATTATTATTATTACTATTATTATATCTGAAGGCAGCCCTCTTTAGGGAAGCTTTCAATATTTAATGCTGTATTGTTTTTAACACTCGATTGGAAGCTGCCCAGAGTGGTGCTCAAAAGGTGCTGTGCCCCAGAACAGGAAGTGTGCATTGAGTGGCCTGGGACGGCCTCCTGGGGGTTGCGCTATGCCTGGTGATGTTCCTGGCTGCTGCCAGGCCTTCCATAACTTTTTTGGGGCCCCGCTAGGCTATGCGCTGCCCCCAGCAGTCGCCAGGCATTCCGCGATATCCCTGGGGCCACTCAGCCTCCCATTGTGAGCAGGAGGCCAAAGACGGCAAAAGTAAGAGAGGGCAAGGAAGAAGGGGGGAGCAGGCAGGCGAGGAAGGAGTTAGCGGCAGGGAGGGGCGAGTGAGGGAGATGCAGGATGGTGGTGGTGGGGTTTCCCGATGGGGGGAGGTGTCTGGGTTTTTGAACCCTAAAGGCATATTGAATTTTTGGTAACAGAGAGCACATCCTTCTCATTCACATCCTCTCTCCAAAGACCACACCCCTTAATGACCCAGGTCTGAACCTTCCTTAAGTGTTTTCCCCTGAACTATGAAAATCCTCCTTGCTTTCTTGGGAAGAGGATTGAGAGAGGGGGGTGTATGAGCATGTGAAATGCTAGGTAACAGTTGCACGTTGTTTCACGCCTTTTGCTTCGGGCCCTGCTTGCCCCATCATGTGGCCCTTGTAAGATTGGCCAGAAGGAAATGAGGCCCTCAGTCTTAAAAGTCGCCCTCTCCTGAGTGCAGCTGAAGCTTTCTTTGTATCACTCAACAGAGCAGAAGCAGGAATTAGAACAACAGCAAGTGAGGAAAGGATATAAAGGCAAACTACTCGGATAAGAGAGCCCATTGAGCTACGTTTAGTGTGGATAAAAGCTTACTAACTAAGATTAATGTATCTGAAAACAACTCAGAGGGTAGGTAGTCTGGCATTACAACATCAGGAGGGCTAGAATGGAGAATAAGGTAGTTGTAAAGCGTAAATGTTATTGGAAGAGACAAGATAAGCGGAGAGTTATCAAGTAGGCTTAAAATGGATAGGAAGCGAGGCAGGAGATGAATGGCCAGGGAGAGGCAGTCTTTCTTCCAAGGACTGAGGACACCCAGGAGATGCTGGTTCAATGGCCTATTCAGTTGCCAGTGTTTGTAGGGAGAGTCCAGAAGAAGTCTTCTTCAGAACAGGAGTGCTGTCCAATTCCCTAGGGAAACAGAACAGAGAGGCACTATTTAAACAAGGAATTAATGAGTTCCTGTTTGGATAGGCATTCTCTTGTGGGAAGAAACAAAGAGAAAAACTGACTGTTCTTAGGGCTGATTCACAGAAAACTCAAATGCTTGAGTTGATATGAATTCGGGGAACACAGAAGCAAAATGCCCCAGCTGGTAATTGGGGTGATGTTGCAAATAATGCATCCAACACAAAGTTCATTTCCGATGCAACCAGAAACCAATGGAAACCCATGCCAGCCACTTCTGTTGGTTCCCGCTGGCCTGAACCAAACCAAAGTCTGCTACGTTATCCAAGGCTAGGAAATCTAAGTCTTTCCGTTGTGATACTGCATTTTGGTGCATTAATTACTGCATCTTCATTCACCGAGTGACACTCAGGGTTATGTTTCTATTTTGTGGTTTTAATTTGTCACTATCCTGAGATGTTTCTGAGGAAGGGAGGTGTCCATGTCTTTTAGGTTCACGTGTGAAATTGCTGCTGAGCAAAACAACTCCTCATAAGTTTATCAGTCTTCAGAGGGCCACCGGAGGCTGTATTATCCCTGCCCCATTGCAATATTTTAGTTATCTGAATGCCAAGCCCTCTTGTGTTGCTCTTCTGCAAGTTATCAAATCATTCCTTATTAAATTCTCCTGAAAAGCCTTTCTAGGACTTCTTCCTGAGAGATGAATTGGTTTAAATACTGTCTGTGCTCATCTGATAGTGGCTGGAAATTTACCACTGAAAGGTAACCATCTCTTAATTTTTGAGGCGGATTGTCAGATAAGTACAGAGAAGCATAATATCCTCTGAGTATGTTGCTGATCAAAACCAATACCAACCGTTCAATCTTCTCAGCAGAGAGGTCATGTTAAGTCATAAGTTTGGACATGGGATGTACACCATGAGATGTACAGTTAGATCAGTGTTTAATGGTTCTTGTATTTGTTTAAAAACCAATAAATATTTGTTTGTGTTTTTTTTTAAAAAAAATCATACCTTATTGCAGGAGGAGATGTAGACCAGGAGTAAGCAGCTTGTGTGATCCACCAAGCTGAATATAAGCCACCTTGCATGACAGCCCATCAGTCTTACAAGTACAGTGGTACCTCAAGTTAAGTACTTAATTCCTTCTGGAGGTCCATTCTTAACTTGAAACTGTTCTTAACCTGAAGTGCCACTTTAGCTAATGGGGCCTCCTGCTGCTGCCGCGCCACCAGAGCACGATTTCTGTTTTCATCCTGAAGCAAAGTTCTTAACCCGAGGTACTATTTCTGGGTTAGCGGAGTCTGTAACCTGAAGCGTCTGTAACCTGAAGCGTATGTAACCCGAGGTACCACTGTATTGTAAAAACTCCTGTCATTGACTAAAAAAACAGTGCAGTCCTCAAGCTGCTGATAGACCCCAATATATGGCTGGTGTGTGTTGCCCTCAGCTTGGCAGGTCATAAACTGGGTGGGCCTGTTCCAGGTCTTCAGAGGTTTCATCAGATACTGCTTTGTTGACACTCCGGTCGTCTTTCCCATTCTGTTTCCTTCCTCTAAATCTCGCTGGATGGAAACACAATGTCCAACGTTAAGACAACAAAGCCTGTCTGACTGCTCAGGGATCTTTTATTTATTTGTTGTCTTTTCTAGAAGAGGTCCCCCGCTCTTACTTGGATCGCCAGTCAATGCACTGTTTGCAGAGAACATCCAACGGAGATTTAATGGTAATGCGGGAAATGGCTGAGACAAGTGGAACCACGGCCAGGTAGGACAGATTAAGCAGTAATGTGTTTGTTGGAGGTTTAGTCACCAGCTTTCAGAGATCAGATATGGCCTTCCTTCTGCTCAATGCAGAGCTTGTTTTGTTAGACCTTGGAGGGCAAAGGATAGGTAGATCACTTGAGCCCATGCTCAAATTGCCATGCCTGATTACCATAATGTTTATGGGGTGACATTCGTAGAACAAATTATTCTTTATTGTTGTGTCTTCCTTCTCTTGCACTTCACCCTAAGGTCCCAGGGGCATTGTGTCAAAATGTCAAAAACAGTTCAAAACTACTTACAATCGCAGAAATAAGGTGTGTCCTTAAAGTTTATATCTCAAGCATCAAAAGGCAGGGTAAAGAGGTGTTCTATACATTTAATTACATGTTGTTTCCAGAAGGTTCGGCTGTGATTCCTGGGCAGTTCAGGGAAGAAAATAAGAAACAAATTTGGGGAAAAGAAGCTTAAAA